CCTCGAAAAAGAAAGAATTAATACTAGAAATGAAGGATGAACGACGAAAAAACTTTCAATTAAAAAAGAAATAATCCATTAAAAAAAGACAGCATAAAGAGCTAATAAACGATTTTGTGTTGTCCGTCAAAAATCCGTTAGGCTGAGTAAAAAAAAGAAAGAAAATAAGAAAGAAACAAAGGATGAATGGAGAGAATCAGGTTATATTACGGATACCATATTCTTGGTTGGAATCTGGAGATGAAAATACGACATGGCAAAAACTAAGCAAGGGGAAGAGATGAAAAATCGATGGACCATTAAAATCAGTGCGAATCTTTGGAGTGGCTTTGTCAAGCGTCACTTTTAGATGTTCGATTTGATTTCTTTCGTTCTTCGTTGGTGAATCTTATTGATTGTTTTTTATTTGCCTTCAATCTTCTTCTTCTTCTCGTCATCATCATCATCATCATCATCATCATTATTATTATTATTATTCACTCACGCTGTGACTCTCTTTATCACTTTTACTATCTTTTTATCTCTTTCTTTCAAGTCATTTTTCTTTCATTTCCACTCTTTACCTCTCACAGTCACCCTCCCACTATCTTCCTATCTCTTTATTTCAGGACATTTATTTCATATCCAGTCTCTCTCTTCTTTCTCTCTTTCTCTCTCTCTCTCACACACACACACACATAGACACACACACACACACGCTATATCTTTCTTTCAGGTCTTTTTTCTTTCATTTCCAGCCTTTATCTCTCTCTTTCTCTTTCTCACTCTCTTACACACACAATATTTTTCTATCTCTTTCTTTTACGCACTTTCCGTTGATTTTCTGTGTCTCTTTCATTCTCAATTTAACTACATCTCTCTCTCTCTCTCCCTCCCTCTCTGTCACACACACACAATTTCATGCCTTTTTTTATCATATTCACTCTTTATTCATCTGTGCCTCACACACATACACTCACTCTATCTCTTTCTTTCAGGTATTTTTTTTCATTCCCAGTATCTATCTATCTATCTATCTATCTATCTATCTATCTATCTATCTATCTATCTATTCCGGTTTGTTTATATCTATCTCAGACTGTTCACATCTATCTATCTATCTATCTATCTATCTATCAGACACACACAAACATACACTATTTATCTGTCTATCAGAAAGACACACACAGACACACTATCTATCAGGCACACACACATACTCTATCTATCTCTCAGACACACACACATACACTATCTATCAGACAAACAAACACACATACACTATCTATCTATCTGCTCAGTATGTTTGTGGGCTTTTATGATTGTCGCTTTGAATTTGGTTATCTAGCGAGTTAATTCCGTTCATATCTATTTACCAATCAAATTTACTTAGCATATCTATCTCAGAGAATACCTTGTATGTTATATCTCTTCATATCACCATCTATATCAATCTCTTTATATTCATAGCTGTTTGTTATTTTTACAACACACAAACACACCCACACGCGCCTATATATATATATATATATATATATATATATATATATATTGTAAATTAACTGATTTAAAAATATGGTTCCTTCGATACACACGAATTACCATGTTTCAAAAACCAAAGCTAAAACTTCAAATTTAATTATATAATTAAATTAAAAATAAAGTTAACTTTCATGATATAACATTAGATTTAATGAAAAATGTACCTTATAACAAAAACCCAATAACAATCCTTTATATATCCAGCCTAAATCCAATCATCCTATATCTATAATTAAGAAAAAAGAATAACTACAAATTCAGCAAATGAGAAGATTTTCTATGAACATATTAATTTCAATAATAAAACTCTAAAAGTTAGTGGCTACGAAAGCCCAAAACTAACTTATATATAAAAAAAGGAAAATGGAAAGCATAGAAAAAACAGAAGCAGACAAATAATTTGGTATACACCCCCATACAACCAAATGTAAAGAACAAATTAGGACAAAAAATCCTTGCAATAATAGTTAAGCACTTTCCTAGAGAAAGTAAACTAAGTACTATTTTCCTTAAAAATACACTAAAATTAAGTTACAACTGTACTGAAAACTTAGAAAAAATTATTAAGAAACATAATGCTAATATCTTCAATAAACACTTAGCCCAAAACCAAAGAAATTTTAACAATATAAAAATAAAAATAAAAAGAGATGAAGATAAACAAAAATTATGTAACTGTAGAAACCCTCATAACTGTCCTCTACAAAATAAATGTCGCACGGAATCATTAGTATACCAATGCAATATCTCATCTATTGAGAATCTCGAAAACATAAAAATCTATATAGGTTGCATAAGCTATGAGTTCAAAGAGAGATTCAATCAACATCAAAGTTCATTTAAGATAAATAAATACCGAAATCAGATGTCCCTATCGAAATATTTCTGGCACTTAAAAGATACCAATAAAACACCTACAGTAAAATGGAAATTAATAAAAAAGAAACTAGAATATATAGGTCATTAAATGACCCATGTACTTTGTGCATACATGAGAAATTATATATTACTAAGTTTATAAAATAAAAAAATTACTGAATCAAAGAAATGAAATAGCTATTCTTTGCCGACATTGTCAAAAATTTTCCATAAAGAATATTTAAAAATAAAAGAGAAAAAAATGGGAGCTGGTAATATACATACTTATATTTAATATGTAATAATAATTTTTATTAAATTAAGTAATTATATTACATTTATTTCTTTTAAAAAGAAATATAGTCTATTAGTAATTGAGAGTAAAAATAATATTTTAAAATTGTACTTCAATATAACGTATTCTAACTCAAACATCCCTTTTAGAAAGAAACTTTATGCATACAAGTACGAACTTAGCTGAAAAAATACCGAAAAACATTTTATCGTTCATAAAAAAAATCCAGATGACATGCGTTGAACGAATGTCATAATTCGTTGAAAAATGCACCCCTACTCTAGCTAGACTTAACCTCTTTTTCGAACGTAACTCATAACTGATACACTAATAGTTAATAAAAATAAACACGCTACAGCCCCTGTCTAAATGATTGGATTTCTCTGTATCCTTGGAAACAAAAAATATGAATTGTATGTGCGTTAAAAACTCAGTAAATTTAAAAATAAGTTATTCAAAAATTCGCTTGAAGATGAAACAGAACTAATGCTTTTAATTTAATTCTATAATTAAATTTGAAGTTTTTAGCTTTGGTTTTTGAAATATGGTAATTCCTGCATAGCGAAGGAACCATATTTTTGAATCAGTTGATTTACAATATTTATGCTCTGTAAATTTACATTGAGCACTGTTTTGTAAAAATAAAAATACCAATAAGAACACCGGATTATATATCTTACTGTTCTTTCTTTTTTACTATATATATATATATATATATATATATATATATATATATATATATATATATATATATAGTGTTTCACCCTGTACAAGTCCCGGTATCCTCCAGATAATGGGTTAGGTTAAGTGGTAGTTTATCTGCCTAGGAATGAAGATAACGGTTAACTACAGACTTGAACAGGTTAAGATTGTAGTAATAGGGAAAGCATCCTCTTGGGAGTCTGTTCCACAGAGGTGTGGTTCGAAGGAAGGAGATGCTCGAGTGGGACTTACATCTCACCGATGCAATACGGAGGAAATGACGGTGGTTTGCTACAACGTAAGTGATATGGCAAGTCCTTCATGAATTGTTCATACAAAAAACAAATATAAAGGTTAATGATTTAATTGGCAAGAAATCCATCGTCGCGAACAATTCAAATAATATACAAAAACCCCGAACCTGTTTATGAATGAAAATATCCTTGATTTTATAAATTTCGGTTGCACAAGTTCTTATTAATTTTACAAGCTTTCGTCTGTTCCTACAGACATCCTCAGGTACGGAATAGATTTTGTTCTTGTTTTTACTCTCTTAATAAGAGGACAACGAAAATATATGTATTGTAATCCGAAAAATGCTATTAGAAATGAGTTATTGTTTTTGGGGCGTGCAGTCGCAACGCTGAGTTTGAATTTAAATTTTACAATTGTGCGTTCTTGTACAAATATAGATATAGTGATAAGTGAATTCTTTTTTACTCGTAAATTTTCTGTCAAAGTTGTTCAATAATTACAGTAATGTCGCACTTATTATCCAAAAGTTGCACTTGGATCAGTTATTTTAATTTCAATAAAGGTGCAATTAATTTACAAATTCATGAATTATTCATACAAAAAACAAATACAAAGGTTAATGATTTAATTGGCGAGAAATCCAGCGAACAATTCAAATAATATACAAAAACCCCGAACCTGTTTATGAATGAAAACTACTATAGTAACTACTATATTAATAGTAGTACTCGTTTGGAAAACCTCGGGTATCTCAACTTGCAGATATGTCAGAACAAATCGGTACCCGACGAAAAAACTGGAAATAAAAAAAAGAAAAAACTAAAATTATCAGTTTAGCCAAAAGATCCTTTTAGGTGAAACCTTGGTAGGTTTGCCTGGCTCCTTAGGATTTATTCTAGTATATATATATATATATATATATATATATATATATATAATGAGGTTTCTATGTCTACACTGTATATAAAAACGATATATTTAGCACTCTTTCCGCAATACTTTAAGCATTATATATATATATATATATATATATATATATTAACACGGACAAAATAATTCAAGACTTTATCCCAGTTTTGCGCTCATAAGATGAATTCAAATTTTATATCAGATCGATATCGACGGTGCAAATATTTACATTTAATTCGGAAAAATCAATAATCAATTAAAGCAAATATACTTTCTAGTAATAGACACGGAAATGACATTGCGGACCACAAATACACTTCTGCCAAAGAGAAAGAATTAAAAGATGCAATTCTTACCACGTCTCATGATATATAAAGAGAAGTTTTATTGTGTATCACATGTGACTTAACGGTAACAAATTTAATTACATTGCGCATATTAATTCAACTGACAATATGCCTTACACTGTTAGATAGAAAGATATGCACAGATAGATAGATAGATAGATAGATAGATAGATAGATAGATAGATAGACATGGACAGGCTGAGATAGGCTGGTATAGATATAAACAGACTTAGAGATAGATAGATAGATAGATAGATAGATAGATAGATAGATAGATAGACAGGCAGGCTTTGAGGTATGACATACCAATTGCGTTGATATAAAAGGAAAAAGTCTTACATTGAGTTCCTTTAAATGACTTGGAAAATTAATTTGGATTTATTTTTCAATATGCTTCTTGGTTTGGCCCAGCACTTTTCAAAAACACTCGCACACACGCACATGCAAGGAGACACAAACACACACACACATACACACACACACACACACACACACACACACATATATATATATATATATATATATATATATATATAATTATAGGGAGAGAGACATTGGGTGCTGAAATTTTCTCATTTAGAATCACTTCCAAAATACTCAAGCATCAATTTTATTTGGTCATAAGTTTCTTGGTTTGACCAAAAAAAAGCTCGTACGCACATACACAGATAGATAGATAGATAGATAGATAGATAGATAGGCAGTCAGTCAGTCATTTGTGTGGAAATAACAATCAACACAGTATGGTGACTATCATTTTCACACCACAAGTTAGCTTCGTGTTTTTAAGATCGCACTTGAGCGGGAAATTGTCATTCTCCACGCAGTATCATTTCCATTTTCTATATCTACACAATCTCTCTCTCGATATCGAAATCAGTTGCAGAATAAATATGGCAATATCAATGCAGAAGTGGCGCTAAGTAACTGAGATGAAATAATAATATAAAGAAAAAGAAAGTTTTTTTTAACAGAAATAATTCTGTATATATTTCTTTTAAATCGTCTCCATTTTAAGCTTAGAAAAAAAAACATAAAAAAAGATTCTCATAGACCCCGGCAAAGGACAAGATATACCATCAGAAATCAGGGACTTTTCTGGCGTTTCCCATGACATCCACAATTGTTTCTTCCATTGATATTTTATGTTGAGGAGGGGGGTCTCTGATATTTTACATGGGGTGCTCTGATATTTTGCATTGGGGGTTCACTAATATTTTGCATTGGGAAGTCACTGATGTTTTCCATTGGGGGTCACTGATATTTTACATTGCGGAGTCACTGATATTTTTCATTGGGGGTCACTGATACTTTTCATTGTGGGGGGGTCACTAATTAGTGCCTCTCGAATATACGTAAGCAGTCTTGAAGGGTGTAAACTGATCGCGAAAATTCTCAACAACACCTCGAAACACTTATAGGATACACTGAAATTTTTACTGTTACATCATATCAGTACTTCTAGATGGCAGTGAATGCTAGACAATCTCCTCAAAGATTAAGACGAAACCTGAAGGAATAGAAATGTCGTTCTACAGAAGGATGCTAAGAATGCCATGGACCAAACATGTGAGCAACGGCAACATTTTTAAGAAAATATACGCGGATATGATAAATGTCAGCACCAGGAAGAAATAGTTGATATTTCTAGAGTAAATGAAGAAAAAGAGCTTGGAAAATTTGATACTCACAAGACAGATTGAAGACAAGAGGGGGCGAGGAAAACAATACATAGCCCACCTGGAAGAAGGAGATAACAAAAAGACAAAATTTATTAAGAGCTGCACAGTCTTCTCAAAGATGAAGAAGAGACATGAAGCAACAAAAATGTCGTTCTACAGAAAGATGCTGGGAATACCATGGAACATGTGAGCAACAACAAAGTTTTAAAGAAAATAGAAACAAAAACGACATGTAGACGAAATAGTTGACATTTCTATGGAACATAATGAGGAAAGAAGGCTTGGAAAATTTGATACTCACAGGATATATTGAAGTCAAGATGGAGCAAAGAAAACAATGCATAACATTCCTAGAGAGCCTAGTAAATGGATGGCCAAACAACGTTTAAGAGTGATATCAAAAAGACCAAATTTATTAAGAGCTACAAATTACAGGATATTGGGAAGAGCCATGATCACCAATGTCCTGAAGGGACGTGGAATGTAGAAGAAGAAAAAGAAAAAGAAGAAGAAGAAGAAGAAGAATGAGTTTGAGTAAATGGATGGTGAAACAAGGTTTAGGAGAGATAACAAAAAGACAAAATTTATTAAAACCTACAAAGGACAGGAGGTACGGTGCAGTAATGGATAGCGGCTCAGATTGAAAAATCGAAGAGCCGAGTTCGAATTCCAGTTGAATCCATTACATTCACTTCCGTGCTATTACCCTTGAGAAAGGTATAAATCCTCTTCTTCTACCCTCCCCCATGGGTAAATCGCAGGACCGACTGGGTTCTATAGCCTTGGATGGCAACTGGTCTACCGCAACCTACTGCGGGAAAAAATCTGCCTCGTCAGTCATGTATCGAAACATACATGATCGCCTGATCACCCTGATGCACGCATGTCACCTAAACACGTGATGCACGCTTAGGCGACAAAGGACAGGAAGTTGTGGAAGACCAAGAAGAAAAAGATGAAGAAGATCCCAACAAAAGGTACTGAGAGAGATTCAATGTCAAGAATTACGGGATGGGTGATATGAATGTAGGAAGATGTGGTCTGAAGGAGAGATTACGAAGAAAGTGATTATGGAAGCAAGCGTATTCTTTCTGGTGCAATTTAGTTTCCTTTCATTCCATGGTTTCACCACTGTGTAGTCTGCGACGTCGCATCTCATCGACTTGTTTGCGTTGCGGTCGATGATGTCTTGAATCCGGCTGAAATAGCTCTTAACCACGAATGACAGGTCACTGTCTGAGGCCTCCAGCTCGATTCTGATCTTGGAGACGAAGGACCTGATCACTTTCAAGAAGCTATCTACCTGCGAAACGCTGTGGTTGACAGCTCGTGTCACGTGGAAGGCAGGACTTTTAATTTCATGCGTCCGAATGAAAAATGAGACGTTAATAATCTCTATACACCTGAAAGAGAAATGAATTATTACAATTTGCCACATGCTGTGAATCATTAAGTCAGATTGTCTTCCATTTCCTACTGGCTAATGACTTGTTATTTATGTACGTATCACAGTATAGATAGATAGATAGATAGATAGATAGATAGATAGATAGATAGATATGATGTTTGTGTACACTTATATGTAGCTAAATCAATAAGTTCATAACCTAATGAATGAATTATTTTACACGTGGGTACTTATTTTTCAACCCAGTCTCTTTAGTTATAATTTAGTGGTTATATTAAGCACATAGTCCGAGTATTATCGAATGGTAGAATTTTAGATCACGTAATAAAATACAATAACGTAATAATAATGCAATATATATATATATATATATATAGAGAGAGAGAGAGAGATAAAGAGAGAGAGACATAGAGAGAGAGAGATATTAAAGGTAACAAATCCGTTGGTATATAATCCAATGGATCCTAGTAATATAAAATATTAAAACTGATGTACAAAAAAGCACAATATTTATTATTACAGAGGAAATAATTAATAAACAAGAAAATCCCAAATCGCCTCATATGGGGAATGGCCTATTTCGGCAAACGATTGTTCTTCAACCCAGGCATAGACTGAGTTCATGTCCGAAATAGAAATTTAACTGTGAAAGCTAAAAAAAAAAAAAAAAAAAACGTTGAAAAACTAATACAGAATTTATCCATTTCAATGTTTCAGTCAGACGAAACGCACGAGTCAGGGCCATGGAGGGTGGAAGGTATCTTAAAGGGAATAAGTTTTATAAAATTAATCCCCAATATTAATCTTATGATATTAATTTGCGATTATATGAGGAATGAAATATTAATTTAAAATTAAAAGAGGAATAAAAAGTGATTCAAAACTAACTTTAAAATGTATAGATAAAAGGATATAAAGGATTAATAGAAAAGGAGTTGTGGAGGGAAATCTTAGAGGAGGGGAAAGTTTATAAATTATAAATAATATAGTGTAAAGCGGTTGTAGAGTGGTGAGATGGAACTTAGAATTTATTATACTTGCGATATTTGAAGAGTTAGAGAGGAATGAATATTATGGAAATATAGTAGCTAATTAAGTTAAAGCTACATTATGGAAATTTGAATTTGTTTTTATGTCGACATTTTAACACTAATTCATTCTTTTGATTCAACAGTTGGCTTTGATTATTGCATTTTATTATTCTATTTTTTGCTTCTAAACCTAAGTCACATTTATCTCTCTTTCTCTCTCTCTCTCTCTCTCTCTCTCTCTCTATATATATATATATATATATATATATATATATATATATATATATATATATATAGATAGATAGATAGATAGATAGATAGATATTGTAATAATGCAATATAGGTAAAGACTACGCGCCTTTTTTTAATTCGCTGTCTTCGAACACTTGTTGAAATTGTAACGTGCATAGCTATGCTATTGAGTATATACTATTTTTGTGACCTTTACTAAACAAAAAATGCTTTATCCAATCACTAAAGATAATGCTTCCTATTTATCATGACCACATTATAAGCTCAAAAAGTTCCTGACATCTTTTAGTCCCTTTAATACTAGACAAAAATGACGATGAACTACATCCGGCAGCAAGGCCGCTGATCGGGAGAGTAGACGTTTTGAGGAGCATAAAACCAACTCTTAACTACTGTTGTTCCTAAGTCCCTCCGATCAGTATTGGTAGCACCTGTTACGGTCCTAATAGTGGGAAAAGAGTGAACCCCAAACAAAATCCTATGAAAATATAAAAATACATTTTTATAGTAAAATTACCAGCAATATAATTTATATCAAAATATAATCAACAATACATATTTGTCGTGAAATTACAAACAATAAATATTTATACTAAAATTACCAACAATACAAATTGTTATGGTCCGGTTCCTTGTACCACGGTGATAGTCCAAAGTAGAACCAATAAAGAAGAACTCAGATACGGATATGGAATAACACAGATATATTACAAACAGGAATATATACAAAGAAGAAGAAAGTGTTAGTACGAACAATCAGGTTTAGTAATAATTGTCTGAGCGCGACTCTGTTTCGGACTGCCTCTGACTCGACTGACTGACTCACTTACTCTGACAGACTTCACTCCAGAATTCAAACTGAACTCAGACTTCAGACGGAACGATATTCAGTCACCCTCCCACGAGGGCGTCATGTGGCACAAGGCCTTTTTAACGTGAGAACTCCGAGCCCTTGGGCTCGGCCAAAAATATGCCCATTGAACCCTTATAAACGGGTTCTGGGTCGGTTTACCTCCCCAAAAGAGAATCCGCCCTTCGGCGTAGCCTCATTCTGGTCCCCCCCCCACCAAAGGCAGAGAGTTCAGCCGATCAGCCGATCAGTCGGTCGCCCAACTTCGGACTGAACTCCCTGCTTTCTCTTGAGGTGCAGTATTTATTACGTATGAAATAGTCCATTATGTTATTATGGGTAAGGTCCCATAACACAAATTTAAAAGGAAAACGATCAACGAATCATTTCATCTGTATTTGAATTCCATTCAAAAAATAGTAAGTTAAAGCCATAAAATTATGTTCAACATATTTAGATTTCGGCATTAAATAACCCATAGGGGTTTATATACCGCTAAAGAAAATCAAACAAAACAAGACCAAATATTAATACTCACCTTCCTGTTGTTGGGTTGGCCAACTATTTATATAAAATACACAATCTCAAGTCAAATCCCTCTAATATATCTCAATTCACTTTTATGGGTCAATAGCCTTTTTCTGAAAGTCATATTGTAACAGTATAAAACATTAAGACACAAAGATAATAAGAGTACAAAAGTAATGATCAATAATAATACCACGACATTCGAAATATAAGTCCAAGACATAGTTAGGCATGAAGTCTATGACAGCCTGAAACAAGAGGACTACAAAAGTTTAAGACAATAAGTTGACAACAAAAGACGACATTAAATCAATAACAAAAATGTAATATGATCAGAAGAATTTTACACAATAATGCTAAATGTGCATCAGGATAAGAATACAAGACATTAAGACAACAAGTTTACGATACGATAAGCCAATATGATTACAACATAAGACAAGTATACAATTGCATCTGAGAATAAGACTAGAACACAGGCAATATGAATAGAACGGCATCTGACAATAAGACTACATCATTAGACAATAAAATATAATAGAATCTGGCAATAAGACTACATTAGACAAAAAGAATATAAAAGCATCTGACGTTAAGACTATATCAATAGACAATAAGAATATCACAGCATGTGACAAGAAGACTACATCATTAAACAATATGAATTTAAAAGCATCTGACAATAAGACTACATTATTAGACAATAACAATATCACACCATCTGGCAATAATATTACATCATTAGAAAATATGAATTTAACAGCATGTGACAATAAGACTACAACATTCGACAATAACAATATCACATCATCTGACAATAGGTCTACATCATTAGATAATAAGAATATAGCAGCATGTGACAATAAGACTGCATCATTAGACAATAACAATATCACAGATTCTGACAATAAATCGATATCATTAGATAATAAGAATAAGACTACATCATTAGGCAATATGAATTTAATATCATCTGAAAATAAGACTACATCATTATCAAAATTGCTAAATGCCAATTTGTACTGAATTTTTATATCTGAATTTCTCACGATTATTCTGAGATTTTGTCAACTTCGTATCGCTATCATTGTTCTTAGACTCTTCTGTGTTTTGCCTTTAATGACTTAAATCTAAGTTTCATTTATTTTATGTCAGTTTTTTTTTTTACCTGGAAGTTTTCACGTTGCTATTTATTGCGTCCTGCAATCAAACTTTGTGATGCGAGTCCCAAAGTTTTTCCTGCTCTTATTTAAAAATCTTTTACCCGATCATTTCTATAAGTACATTAAGTGGACATAGTTTTCCCTAAAGTTGTAGAATAAAATACCATCTCCTGTCTCTCTCTTTCTCAACCTACCTTCTCTCTCTTTCTCTCTCTCTCGCTCTCAGCCATGCATACACACACACATATATATATATATATATATATATATATATATATCTTTAGATGGTTTCCTTTACTCTTCGAAAAATATAACTATAAAAACACCTTAAGTATACAGAGACATGAACACATTTAGCTTAAAATAATGATACGGAAGACAGAGATGTGAATAAATGGATATTTATAAAATGTTAGATAGATAGATAAATAGATAGATAGATAGATAGATAGATAGATAGATAGATAATGAACATAGGTAATCACCTGAGATAGATAGATAGATAGATAGATAGATAGATAGATAGATAGATAGATAGATAATGAAGTCAGATTATCACCTGAGATAGATAGATAGATAGATAGATAGATAGATAATGAACTTAGATAATCACCTGAAATAGATAGAATTGATATGAGATAAGCAGATAGATAATGAACTTAGATACATAGATAGGAACAGACTGAGATAGATAACTCAAAAATGACTGAGAGGAATAAATAGATAGATAGATAGATAGATAGATAGATAGATAGATAGATAGATAGATAGATAGATAATGAACTTAGATAATCACCTAAGATAGATAGATAGATAGATAGATAGATAGATAGATAGATAGATAGCTGACCCAT